TGGCAGACCCTGTGCTGCTGAGACTTCACGGGAAAATACACACAGAACGCGCGGCAAGCCAGGCGGGGAGGGGCTCAGAGCCCCCGCGGCCTCACCTTACAGGGGGGAGACTGAGGCCTGAGTCACACAGCAGCTTTTGCCTGAGCAAGAACTCCAGGTTCCCCCACGAGAGACCTGGTGCGTGGGCTCGCGGTCATGCGGCTCTGCTCCCTTGCCCAGGTCTGTTGTGGGCATCCCCACCTGCGAGTCCCTGGTGCAGCTGCAGCCCCGGCAGAGCTACACAATCTACGTGCGTGCCCTCAATGTGGGGGGCCCCAGCGCAAGAACCAGCCTCAGATTCATGCCAGGGTTGTGCAACCTGACCTTAATGAAGATGGTGGTTCAAAGAGCTGGAGAAGGACCCCATCTTCATGGTGACTGAGCCAAACCGGCTTCGGCCACACAGTGGTTTTTGCCTGAGCAAGAACTCCAGGTTCCCCCACGCCCCTCAGGTGGGCTGGAGCCTGTCACACTGGACCCGGGTGGCACAGACACCTCCTGTCTCTCAGCCTGAACACCACCCAGGGGCGGGTCTGTAAGAAATTCCAGGAGGAGCCCTTTGCTGCGGTGCATCTCCCCACCCTCAGGCCCACTTAAACCTGGCCATCCGCCTCCTCCCAGGCCCTCTCTGGCCCGGGTGGGTGCCCACATGCCCAAGTCCAGCCCCTCCCCCTTCTCACTTGCCATCATCATGTCGTCGAATTGTCACATCTCGTGGCCAAGTCTTGAGTCAGCGGGACAGCCAGCACTGGGAACATTCTGGGCACGGCCGTCCCTCACTGCTGTGGCTCTGGGTGCCGAGCTGGGCACCCCTCCCGCCCCTCCCCGAGCAGGTCCAGCTCAGGCGGTTGGTCATGTGCCTGTGAGAAGCAGAAGCAGGGAGCCGGGGCTCAGGAGACAATGTTCCCTCCACCGGGATCTGTCACTGAGGGACACTGTGTCGTTTTGTCCTCTTCAGTGCCAGGAGGAGAGGTCTGCGATTAGTCCCCACTTACAGTCCTCCCATAGCTGGGAAGACAAGTTAAGTGGCCGCCTGAGGTGAGAGGTGTCATGCCAGCTCAGGGCCCCGTGTTCTCATTTCTGTTGTGCTGGGCCTCCTTGGCTTGGTGTGCCCCTTGGATTTCCTGCTCCGAGTTCCTGTTTTGAAATGTCAAACTCTGGCCATTGCAGTAAAAGGGAGCAGAGTGAAGGGTACAGCCAGCTCTGATCATCAAGTTGTCTCTGAATTAATGTGTTCAAATAATTTTTTAAGAATATGTTTGTGGCCGAAACCGGTTTGGCTCAGTGGGTAGAGCGTCGGCCTGCGGACTTTTGAAGGGTCCCGGGTTCGATTCCGGTCAAGGGCATGTGCCTGGGTTGCGGGCACATCCCCAGTGGGAGATGTGCAGGAGGCGGCTGATCGATGTTTCTCTCATTATCGATGTTTCTAACTCTCTATCTCTCTCCGTTCCTCTCTGTGAAAAATCAATAAAATATATTAAAAAAAAAAAAAAGAATATGTTTGTGAAAAACTCAAAAGAACATGAGTCAGCAAAAACCACGGGTGCTTGTTGGAGGCTAGGGAGCAGGCTGTGAGGCCACGTGCGTGTCAGCTGCTGGGAGGGCGTCTGCCTGCATCTCGCCGGTCAGCTCAGATGGCAGGTGACGTTCCCAGCGGCATCAAATTGTGGAAGTAACTGTGGACAGCTTCATGGCGATGCTTGAACTGGGGTTTGAGATGATGAGAGGTGATAGGATGAGAAGTTAAGGACAGAATTCGGCTGAGACGGTAATGAACAATGAGCTGGGCTGGCTCGGGGAGGGGTGGGAAGAGCCGCACGGCCAGTGCCCCGTGCAGAGCTCGGCACCCAGAGCCACAGTAGCGCAGGCACGGCAGATGGACAGGATGTCCCTAAGTAACGGATGTGTTTACTAAATAATTTTTTAAAATATATTTTATTGATTTTTTACAGAGAGGAAGGGAGAGGGACAGAGTGTTAGAAACATCGATGAGAGAGAAACATCGATCCGCTGCCTCCTGCACACCCCCTACTGGGTATGTGCCTGCAACCAAGGTACATGCCCTTGACCGGAATCAAACCTGGGACCCTTGAGTCCGCAGGCCGATGCTCTATCCACTGAGCCACACCGGTCAGGGCTAAGTAATTTTTTATGAAACCTATTCTGTACCCCTCCTTGATGAGCTTCGTTTTCACTCTGACTTGGGGGTGGCTCTACGGAACCCCACTGTTGTATTTGGAAGTTGGGTATTGAATTTTGCTGACCTTTGTCCAACTGATCATTAAAAATGCCCCCCGAGTCCTGTCTCCCTGTGGGCGAGAGATGCCCGTCCACACCCAGCATCCTCCGGAATCCGAGGGGCTCGGGGGTCAACCTTGAGGACCAGCATCTGCCAGCTGATTTCTTAACCGCCTTTGCCTCAGTTTTCATATCTACAGATGGAAGTCATAACACCTGTTTCCAAGGGTAACTGTGGGGATTGAATGGGAGAAGACGTGCAAAGTGCTTAGCTGAGTCCCCGCCCAATACCTGGGCACTGCCGTACCCACTATGAGACTGGCGCACGACCCACTGTGTGCTCACAGGCACCTCTGCCATCCCCACCAGCACAAGGGTTATCACGTGAGGTCCAGGCGGAGGGAACACTCCGGAAGCTAAGTGGGCGATGTGCAGGCTCCCTGGGCCCATGTGGCGCGATGCGGAGAAAGGGGTGCCTGGCTGCTGATACCCACCTGGGTTTGCTCCCCTACAGGCAGCTACTTCCGCCTGAACGAGCAGACCTGCCATCCCTGGCTGACCATTTCTGAAGACGGGCTGACAGCTGTCCGGAGCGAGAGGAAGACCCCCACAAGGGAGCCGCCCCCCAGCAGCACCCGCTTTACGAGGTAGGTCCCGTTTCCACCGCTCACTAGAGCGTTCTGTGCACCTCCCTAATATACGCTGTTATTCAGTAAAATCGGATTAAGACAGATGCAGCTTTGAAGGGGGAAAGAAATCCCAGAAATAGGGGTTAGGGGCCTGGTGGCGAGGAGAGGCTGGTGGGGGCAGAAGGGACCTGTCGTGGCCTCTGAGGTCCTGCCCTGGGCTGCGGGCCCTGGAGGAGGCAGCCCACCAAGCCCTGGCACGAGGGTCATGCTGCCAGGCTGTGGGAGGAAGAAACCACTTCTAGCATCAGTCAGGCGAGCCTGGAGAGCTCAGGGTGTACAGGTGAGGTGCTCACACAGCCTCCACTCGTATAGACCACCTGATGGCTGACCCAGCAGTCAGTGCCACTCACCTGCACAACCAGGCCTGGTCACCTCCATCACATGTATTTCCACTTTCTAAACCAGGTGCGTCGCGGTCATGGGAAACCTGATTCCGGTCCGAGGGCGCCACTACTGGGAGGTGGAGGTGGACGAGCGGTCGGACTACACGGTGGGTGTGGCCTTTGAAGACGTCCCTAAGCAGGAAGACCTGGGCGCTAACTGCCTGTCCTGGTGCATGAGGCACACGTGGGCATCACCAAGGTAAAGCATTCTGGGTACCCGAGACCAGCATTTTCTTTTGAACGAATAGAGGGAGAGGTTTTCCCACACGGAGTAAGGCCTACAGTGCATGTTATAAAACAGCCTTAGACATTTCAGGGCTCGCTGCCAGCCCTCTGACACATCTGGATTGTATTCTCAGTGTTCCTCCAGTCGCATAGACCAGCATGTTGGCACACAGAGCTCTTCAAACGTCTGCGGGTGGCAGGGCTAGGGGATCCCTGTGATTGGTCTTGGTTTCAGCCGGTTTCAAAGCACATAGGATACGGCTGGAGCCGTGTCACACTGACCAGGGCCAGGCCCCTACGTTTCTTAGGTTAAGAGGTGGCTCAAAAACAAAGTTTAAAATGTATGTTACTTAGAACTAATTTTAGAAAAGAATAGTTGTAGAAATGGCTTGTTACCTTGGTAGTCCTTAATAAAAAAATAAAACATAATCATAGGAGTATTTAAATAAAGCTGTATAAAATGTTCTGAAAACAGCCCATCTACAGCATTTCTGAAAAGTTGTTATGTATTTTAGACATAAGTATGAATTTCTGCACAACAAGATGACTCCAGATATAAGAATCACAGTTGCCCCAAAGAAGATTTGGCATTCTTTAGACTATGAAAACTCAAGATTATCATTTTTCAACGTGGACATTTCTCAGCATCTATACACATTTAGTTGTCAGCTTCACCAGTTTGTGCATCCCTGTTTTTCTTTGGAAAAGCCTGGGTGTCTGAAGATACACAACGGCATTTCAGTGCCAAAGCACGTCACTTTCTACTAGGCCATGCTGGTGCCCTGCTCGGTCTTCTGTAGCCACCCTCCCTCAGCCACTCCTGCCTCAGTGTTCAAGCACCATGCACCCAGCACAGTTTGGACTCGTGCTGTTACCTGGCAGCCTGGTGTGCTGGCACGCGCTTCCCTGACGTGGGTTTTGTCCTGTGACCTGTGTGATGCTGTTAGTCATGACCAGGCCTGGCTGTAAAGTGAGGGCTCAGACTAAATAAACTCAGCAGTTCTTTAGCTTGTCAACTTGTGTTGGTCTGTGTTCATGCAAAGTATCTGAGTCTCTAAGGCCTACAGAGCTTGGGGGTTGGGGGAGAGATGCAGGAGTGTCAGTGATTACAGCATCCCCAGCTCACGCGTGACATTTCATTAGCCAAGAACAGACCTGAGAAGGCAGGTGTCCACAGAGAACTGGAAGCCGTGTGTCCTCTCCTGTTTTCCCAGTAGTTAGCAGCACTGTGATGCGGTTTCTCCAAACTACACTCTTTATTTCTTAGTTTTTTAATATATTTTTTTAGTGATTTCAGAAAGGAAGAGGGAGAGAGAGAAAGAAATTATTAGTTTCAGGTGTGCACTACAGTGATTAGACATTCTGACTGAGCCAAAATGTCC